AAAGCAGAAGTCTTTGAGCGTACTTAGTACAACTTAGTTAAGGTAACAAACGCGGCTAAAGCTATGTCCACCAGGCCAACCAGACGCTGTTCTGACGCAAATAGCGACACGATTGGCTTGTGACTAAACGGCTGGCTCGCCAGAGTCTTAGCTTGAAATAGCTTTAAATTTTAAATAATTGATTGATTGCCAGTTTGCGTTCGTTGCGTGTAGGCGGATCGATAGCCTACCATGATCACAGCTTGCTGCCTTTCTGCTGGCTGTTCGTTAAGGCTGCCCATAACACTCGAGACCTCGACGACACCTTCTTCCGTGTTCCCACGTTCCAATATCTGTGATAGGCTCATCTGTCCCGTCTTAACATTCTCGTCAGCCTGACCCTTCTACCTCGTGTAAATTTCCTCTCATGAGCGACAGTTTTCTTTCCTTACAACCCCACAAATCGCATTTAAAAACTCTATGGTATGCGGGAACTGCACAAGGAGTATTTTCACTGTATACTCATTTTTCATTTTCGACCATCTAATAGCCCGTGTCATAGGCGTCGCCTATGAGCCGAGACACTATAATAATGTAATTATAATATTCGTATTGAGTGAGTAGCAACGTACATTCACCATTTCTAAAGCATCGACGCACTGTGCCAAAATTGAAAAATAGTCTATTTGTACCCTGTAAGTGATCAGGTCCTTGATTTTTACGAAGAGTTATTTGCTCCCATGATTAGAGCATTTGTCCGGCTGACGTTAGAATGCTGCCTTTAGGCATGGTTCTCCTTGATGCAGTAAGATTACACTTGACTGGATAAATTTCAACGATTGGCGTCCAAACTAGTCGGTGGATTAGTACGCCAACCTTAGGAGGTAAAACCAGGGTGATATAGTCATACCCTTCAACGTTGTCAGTGGAGTAGACTCCGCTCTTAAAAAGGCAGTTTTTTGAATTGATAAACACGACAATCTCTAATGTCACCATTACAAACTGAAGGCAAGATAAGTCAAACTTGAGGTGCGGGTCAAATTCTTCTCCTCACGGGTGCCTGAAGAACGGAAAAATGCCTTTTTGGGTTGTTCTGGCGTAAAGTTATGAGACTTTTACAGGAACACTGAGGAAAGTGTGGAGCATGGCCATATTTTTGTCTACACAAATGGCGAATATATTGTATCCCGATCGCTGTGTAAAAAGATGCATTATTTGCCAGCGTTTATCTGTAAATAGGATTACGAAAGCTTTGCTAATTCCCTTTATTGATACTGGATTATGTATTATAGCATATAGTCTTGAGCAAAGGTTGCAGTTTTAAGACGTATACCAGTGGTTCCACTCGCCTCATCTTCTCAGAAACGCAATAAAGCTGCAAGCAAAAATGTCCAAGCTGAACTATCGTTTTAAATTCTCCAAACAACGGATAGTATAACAAAGAAATATTCTCTCGATCCTGGAGGCGATATTTTCACATGATTGCATTCGGCGCCTATTTTCTCTTGATAGTCTGAACCTGAACTGCGTTCCCCATGAACTTTAGGCAAAAGCTTGTTTCAAACGCAAGGTTACTTGAATTTTGTGAAAAAAATGTTGACAGGGACAATATTTACGAGCACCTGTGTGGATGCATATGACACACCGGCATTTAATAAATAGATTTTAAATATAGATTGCATATTATCCTGATCAAATAGATAAAAAATAAATAAGTGAAGCAAATGAAAATTCAGCTCCCGAGAACGAGGTTGGTCTGCTGCGAGAGGAACGTACATATTTAAAAAATAAGGTCCGTTTAACATATTTTCGACCGTGTGTGATTTGTTATAACCAAAGAGCAGTTTGTAAATGAGGTGATTATCAGAAAATTGTCCCAGCTACTTTTCTGGGCCCTACTAATCGATAGGATTGGCGACTTTAATCCTGAGTAGAATTGTTTATTTACTCAAGTGGATGCAAATTTTTATTGTGGATAACGACATTAGTTTAATCGGTGATAAACCGGAGTTAACCTGGATCATCTACGAGATCGCGGTCGTTTATTCAAAAGAAAAGGAGCACAGAAGCAATTGAGAGGTGACCAAAGAACGGTGAATATAATTGTGCATAATCACTACAGATATTAGCTTTCTAAAATAAACCGCTTGATCCGAGTTGCACATACTGTTCTTATTCTAAAGTTATGCGCATCTTCACCAAATAGAGCATGGCAAATTGCTAGGTTTACTTTTGTAGAAGAGGAATAGTGGGCTTTTCGCAATGTTATTTTAAGTCCTTTCTATGTGATTCAAGGTTGCTACCCGTTTTTGGTATTAACCTTCGTATTTCCTGAGTACAGTAGCCGAAGCCTGATCTTTGTGCACTGGTACAGCGATAAGCGTTGTGAGACGACTGTGTTGTAGATTTTTTACTTATCGGACCTTTTCTTTTAATTTTTCTTCGTATCAAGATACCCTGATCATTTTACGGAGTGTTTTAAAACTGACTGGGCTAGAGGTGACCAATTGATTCAACATACTGCCTTCATTTGAAGACCGTAAACATCGCTTTTAAATTTTATTAGCGTCCCTCAATTAGATTTACATTCACAAGGACCTCATGCAGAAGAAATTAATAAGAAACGGTAATTCATGTAGACCTTATACTACTTTTAACGAGGTACATCATTTCATATCTCCATGACAACGGTGTGGCAGCCTTTTTGCCAGTTCGGTTACGTGATTTTACACCATGGCCATGACCAACCGGACTAATCATATTATGCAGGAAAATGCAAAAAAGAAGCTCGGCGGAACAACAGATTGTATAGAAAAGTTACGGTTGCAGTGTCTTTCAAGAGGTGGATCAGGAATAATGGGATTAGCTCGGTAAATAATCAAAATGTAAATTCATAAAATTGTGTAAGCTTTGAATTGGTTTCGTTAGGCCTTTCTTAATTTCTAGAATATCATATATACAAAAACGACAGAGGAGACTTGTTTGCTGAGGAGAATTTTTAACTCAGAAGTTATAATGTAAGATCATCTAGATGCTCTTACATTATAGCGCTATTTATGATATCTGATGATCTCTTCTGCATTAAAAAATTCATCAGCAAGCGGGTCTTTTCTGTCGTTTTTGTAAATATTCTGTTATGCACATATATGTACATTAAGGTCTACGTATAGGAAGTGTGATAAATAAAGCTTATCCTTTATACTATTAAATCGCCAAAGGGAGCATTTGGAATAGAATGTCTTTAGTTAGGGCTTATAATTGGAGCACATGGACGCTGATATATCACTGGTATATAACGTGGTACGCATATATATATATATCTTCAAGAAATGTGTGCGAAAATATGGCCTCTAGTTATAATGCTGCCTTTCAGCAAGTCGAATTTTACGAGCAAACTCATACTGTCGTGTTATTGAATAGGTCATATTTAACGTTATATGGTGCGACTTGCTGTCTATTGATGTAAAAAATATTGCTTAATTCAGTACCCAATGGAACTTCCATCTTAAATAACTTAGCAAGAGTTGAGTCACTATGACTTTATTAGTTAAGTAAACGAGCTTTAATATCCACAGAGACACACATAAAGCAGAAAGTTATACAAAATATTGAACTTTAGGTAAACATAAGTGTTTAAACTATATTATTTTAACCTATTACGGCTTTCAATTAAGGCAATTTAAAATAATGGATGACGATGGCAATAGGTCACTTGATTTCAAGGAATTTATGAAAGGCTGCGGAGACTTTGGACTTCAGATAAGCAAAGACGAATGCCAAGAAATTTTTAACGCCATCGATAAAGACCAAAGTAGAACTCTCGACTTTGACGAATTCCTCCAGGCCCTCAGGGTAAGAGTTATGATTTACTCATTTTTGCATTTTAGCCTCCCCTATCAAATGCCAGAATTAATCTAATAAACCAGGCTTTCATAAAAATGGATAGAACAAAAGACGGCGTAATAACGGTAAATATTTCTAATTTTATAATCGTTTACTGCCTTATTGAAATAAATTCAAACGTCTAAGCAACTCTCATCAACCGCCTATATTTCCCCATTATTGTAGCTCATAGCAATGGCAAAGTCTCCATTGAAAAGCTTTGGAAACTTGCTCACGTCCATTAAAATGTTGATGAAAATTTTAGGCAGAAGATCTTAAAGGAGTTTACAATGTCTCCAAGCATCCCAAATATTTAAATGGCGAATGGACAGAGGACCAAGTTTTCGCCGAATATCTAAAGACTTTCGAAGTTGGGGGAGAAGTTGATGCAACAGTAAGTTCTCTATGGCCGCATATCGCTCTGTCTTTTCAAAAAGGGTCAATGCTCGTAATTTCAGAAACGTATTTCATTAGTAGTAATTATTTATCTTTATTATTTTGTTAATCCTGGTGTTGTAAACGTTTAAAGCGTTTTTAAATTTTCGACTGAACACCAAACTGGAATATGAACGCAACGATTTCCTATACAATAGAAACTTTATGATAGACACTCGATGTTTTCGGAGAAATGCGCAAATGATTTACCCATAATTTAATTATTCGGATTAGATTCAATTTTTCATCATTTAATTTAATTGCAGTAAGACAACCAGTGATCTGCACCGACAATGCGGCAGTTTGTCAACAGCCGGTTGCTACAATCTACTGAGCGTATACATTTTTTTAAATTCCGTCAGTTTGCGACCATCCAAGCCACGTCTTTTACATCACCACGATAGATGCAAGTATGTCAGGTTGTTTATAGTGAGGAAGAAAGCACCGAAGTGTCAATCAACCTGATGAGAGATGGTCGCAGTGGCTAACAGGACCGGCAAACTCGTCTGCGCGTGCCAAAACACGATCTGCCCCTCTTGATACGCAAACACACACACACACACACACTAGGAATAATACAGCCAGGGGATAAGAAGGAACTTTCGACGTCTAATTGCTAATGTAAACACAGCGCACACTGGGCTGATGGCGTGATGCAGTTGTCGCAGCTCGTAGTGTCGACAAACAGAAGGCTCCCCCAAATCACAAATCAAGGAAGACGGTGCTGGTGGACAGAAATTTACTGCCGAAAAATAGACGGTACAGAGGCCGTTTTATGGGACAACTGCCAGCTGCGTGTGCTCGCCAGATGTCTTGGCGAAGTTGTGTGTTCGCTGCAGCCAAGCCTTGCCTGCCGGGCCGTGGAAGA